CAGAATTGTGAGATATAAACTCAGAATTGTGAGATGCAAACTCACAAATGCGAGGATGTAATAATGTAATAATCTTTATTTTTAATGGAAAGTCCCTGTTGTTGTCTATATTTAATAATAGTTTTCTGCCACGGTGAATTCTCTTTTGTTTAGATCAGGAAGGTTTAGAGGAGGACATGGCTGCTCAAGAACCCTCTCCCCCGTCCTCCATGGAGAACAACAAGCCCGGGTTCCCAAAGAAGATTCTGGCCAACAAACTTGAAGACAAACATTTATGCAACTGCTGTCAGAACATATTGAGGAGACCGTTCCAAGCGCAGTGCGGCCATCGCTTTTGTTCTTACTGCTTCAACCGGACTGTTGGGTAATTCAGTCTGCTGATCAAAAACAGATGCAGTTATTTGGCCGATAAAATTCAGTTCTGATGCAATGACTTTAAAACATTCATTGGGGCGATTGACACATATGGAAATACCGGAATGATGACACTTTTACCGTTCAAAAGTTTGGCATCTTTTATTCTTATATTCACTAAGGCTGCATTTATTTGATAAAAAAAACAGTAAAAACAGAATAACTGTTGTTCAGAATAACTGTTTTCTATTTAATTATATGTGACCCTGGAGCACAAAAGCAGTCTTAAGTCGCTGGGGTAAATTTGTAGCAATAGCCAAAAACACATTGTATTGATTTTTCTTTTATGTCAAAAATCATTAGGATATTAAGTGAAGATCATGTTCCATGAAGATATTTTGTTCATTTCCTACTGTAAATATATCAAAACTTAATTTTTGATTTGTAATATGCATTGCTAAGAACTTAATTTGGACAACTTTAAAGATGATTTTCTCAATATTTAGATTTTTTGTGCTCCCTCAGATTCCAGATTTTCAAATAGTTGTATCTCGGCCGAATATTGTCCTATCCTAACAAACCATACATCAATGGAAAGCAATGGAAGCTTATTCAGCTTTCAGATGATGTATAAATCTCAATTTTGAAAAAATTGACACTTAAGACTGGTTTTGTGCTCCAGGGTCACATATTTTAAAATGTAATTTATTCCTGTGATGCAAAGCTGAATTTTCAGCATCATTCCTCCAGTCTTCAGTGTCACATGATCCTTCAGAAATCAGTATAATATGCTGATTTGCTGCTCAAGAAGCATTTCCTATCATTGACAATGTTGAAAACATTGCTTCATATTTTTGTGGAAACCGTGATACATATTTTCAGGATTCTTGGATGAATAGAAAGATCAAAAGAGCAGCAAGTATCCAAATCTTTTGTAAAATTATAAATGCCTTTACTGTCACTTTTGATCAATTTAATCCATAATTTCTGTAAAAAGTATTTTTTCCCCCCAACAAATCTTACTGAC